TTTTCTTACTTTCATGTCTGCTTTTCATTTCAGTGCAAAATGTCTGAAAGAAACATAACTTCTGTGGAAACAGGCATAAGAATTTTTATTTTTGTCCATGCAGTTCTCCATTGCTCCTCACACATACGTGCTCAGGTCATAATAAGAATACATATTTCTAGTAAAAAACCAACCAATCACAAAAACACAAACAAACCAACCAAACAAAAGGAGTAAGGAATAAAGATACAAACATAACATAAAATTATAGTTAGATACTTTTCCTTTCCTTTTCCATTGCCATAAAGTATTGGATTAATATTAGTATGATACCTCTCCTCTAATGAATCCAATATAAATTCACATCTGTTCTCCTCATTTGCCCATCTTCAGTCATCCCAGACAGGTTACAAACAGAAAACAGGAGTTTGTATTTACTTACTTGCATTTTAAATTAGTCAGATTATATGGTTTTGTAATAGTTTTCACTGATTGAAGTGTTCTTTCACTTCTTTGAAGTAGAAAATATGACCTCACACCTACAGGAAGAGAAAATCAATGTTTTTTAAAATGTTCACTCATTCTGAGTAGCTCAAATACGTAAAGGTGCTAAATTCCATTAGTGTTTACCAACTTCTGCTAATACTGCAGTGGCTGGAACTCTAGATTCTCATAAATTCAATATGTGCTTTTGGAAATTTGAGCCCAAATGTTTCCTTTTCATTAAAATAATTATCATGTGTATTTCTATGATACCAACAGTAGGTATACTTATCTAACTCTCAGAGAGAGCGAGCTAATAAATATAACATTTGTAGAATAGATAATAATCTTGTTGAGAATGAGGAATACTTTTCTGCCACTAAGCTGTTAACAACAAAAGCATGTTCTATTTCGACACATGAAAACAATGCTCCCAACACTCCTTGAGAGTGGCCTTGAAAACCACAACTTTGCTGTATTACAAGTATTCTGATAGTAAGTCTGGTGGTGTCAGCTCTCCAGAGCACACAGCCTTCATCAATTCATACTTTGCTTACTTGCTTCCCTTTGCTGTCTTTAAACCTTTGTCCCTTAAAACCTGTAATCAGTGCACACATAATTGTGATTTCTGGTATGGGCTGCAGTTTATGACTCTTCCTCTGGGGCAAGTCTCCTCTATCCTGAATTGTAGGGCAGCAAGAAACTTCCATGGGACTTAAGAGTGGTGATTTATTCTGCAGTATCCTCAAGACCAAACCCTCTGGCTCTCTGTGCAGCTCATTCCCCAGGCACTTTCAGGGGATGTTGGAAGGAAAACATCTAACCCACTGTGCCTCTCTGCTGTCTGCAGCCAGAATAGCCCCTGGGAGAGCTGCAGATGAGAACAATCCCTGTTCCCCACTGCACTTCTGCAAAATTGCCTGGTGCAGCCTGTCCCGTTGCACCTGCCTTCCAAACCCTAGCACAGCCACTCCTTAAACTCTCAGTGGTACAAATAGCACCCCCAAGCCCTTCTGCTGCAATCCCAGTAGTGGAATAGGGCTTGGGACTTGCCATGCCACAGAGAATGACATCCCAGCAGCAGGAATGCTGAACTCCCAAAGGGCACAGGCATGGGCATGTTCCCTCAGCCCATCTCTAACTGCTCACGTGAACATTGCTCAGCAGAGATGTGTAGACATGGATGAGAAGCAGTGTGAGACAGATTGGCATACTATTTGAAGAAGATATATTGCTTTCCAGTTGCAGACTAATTCTGCTTATTTATAAGGCAGTAAAGATAGATATTGCCACCCCTGAAATCTGGAAGCATCCAAGTTTCAGAAAAAAACCCAAACCTGAATGTTATGGAGGAGGTCTCTCTTTTCTGAAACTATCTATCGCTAAACACCTCAGCTTGAAGTAGCAGAAGCCTGGAGTTGCACCAGCCTGTGTTCAAAGTGCTAAGGCAGGTGCAATACATGAGTGAGCAGTGAAGATTTTTTCCAAATTCAGAATGATGCCTGGCATCAGAAGTAAACAGAAATTAGAAGAGAAGAGAAAATGAACAGAAATGTATGCAACTAAGTTATCTCAGAGCTTAAATTCTCTGAAAAATCAAAACAATCTCAAAGTGATCTTGATAGTGCCATTTCTTTGTTTGTATATGTGTATAGCCCATTTAGAGAAAGAAAGATATGCTTAGTGCACTTATCATGTGTAGGAGGCTTCAGCCAATTTTGAAAAGATTAACTGCAGAAAAGTATTCCAGAAATAATTAGTGCCAATCTTGAGGGTAAAAACGAAAGTTTGGAGAGAGGTTTTTATATATGTATACAAGAATAAAACTGATCATAGACTATTTGGTAAATATCCATGGACAATAAATCTAGTAAGCCAAACTACTTAAAAAGGCTCTGAAGTGGAAAACCCCCTAGACATGAAATACAGCACAGGGGGGATCCAAAAGCTTCATTGATCACCCTTCATTACCTTAAAATGCAGAGACTGATGTCTTTTCCTGCCTCTTCAAAGACCCCTGCCAGAGCCCTTCAAATGCAAGTGGCAGCCCCTGAGGTGGTTTCTGAGGTGATGACAATGACTTTCTCATTCATATTTGATCCAGTTGCTCTTTCAAACATCAGTACAATCCATGCATAATTTCCTTAAGGCATTCAGATGCATATAAAACATTCAACTGTCCACAACCAACTATCTCCTGTAAATTTTTGTCTGATCATTAGAACAGTAAGGGTTACATCACTAAATCAGTTCATCATTAAGCAAATATATGAATCCAATGAGATCTCAGTGCTTCAACAATACCTGTACGGACAGTGGGAAATCCAGAGGAAAAGTGAATCTTCGCAACTGTAGCCAACAATAAAAGTTCAATTAAGACTTTTTGTTTGCTTGTTCTTATAATCTCTAAATTTGTTTTTTTTTTTCAGGTGATACTCTGAACTTTTCCAAAGGTTAAGGGATGTTCTAGTTCTTCTAACCAGGACACTCTGTTACAGAGTTGAAAACAAACTCAGTTACAGGGTTTCTGTCTTCCAGAATTATTAACACCAGAAATAACACAAGAGATCTGCAACTGATAGTTTTAATGTGCCACAAGCTGGATAAGAACTCCAGGAATAATGCCTAAGCATCTCCATGCTTGAGGTATATCTGGACTGTCAGCAGGTATGCTCCACAACATATCCCTTGTTTGGGTTCTCTGTTTTTTCACTTCTTTTGTAGTCCGTTCATCTTTCCTTCCAATAGACACTGCAATGCAGAGGCAGCAAGATAGGCAGGGATGGCCTGTACCCAAGCCCTGGACTGAACATGCACTCAGGACAGTTTGGGATGTGGATGCTGATCTAGGAACTGGGAAGTATTCCCACACATGGAAAAAGAAATTTTGAGTCAAGCTAAAAATAACACTTAGCATTTTTATTCCTTGCAGTGATGTCTTTACATTATTTTACTCCAGTCTGAGAAATACAAGCTCCTCACTGTCAGCTCACGGTAAAGTGAAGAAAGCAGCTTTATTTTTGGATGTGCAACATAATGTACAATGCTGAACACAATCTCTGATGTAGAACATTATGTACATTGTGCAGTATGTTCCAGGAGATGCTGTTTTTTTCCAAATCACCTGGAGCTTAAACACAGATCTGGATAATAGGCACATTAATTCAAAAATAATTTGAAGCTATCTTTGCAACTCTAACAGTTCTGAATGCATTAAAAACCTGCAGCTGTAGCAAAGAAAGCCGGCAGGATGTCAGGTTACACCAACAAGGGCATCACCAGCAGAGAGAAATTTACTGTCCCACTCAGCACTTGTCAGATTACACCTGGAATACTGTGGTCAGTTGTGATTCCTGCTATAGAAAAAGATGTGGGCAGGTTGGAGAGGGTGCAGAGAAGGGCCACAAAGATGATCAAAGAACTGGGAAGCTTGCTGTATGAGGAAAGGCTGAGAGAGCTGGGTTTGCCCAGACTTGAGAAGAGAAGGCTCAGGGGAGACCTTATCACCATCTTCCAGTATTTAAAGGGTGGCTACAAAGAAGATGGAGACTCCTTTTTTCAAGGAGTCACAGGATAAAGAAGCCCTGGGAAGATTCTGACTGGAGGCAGGAGGAATTTTTTCACAATGAGAACAACTGTCCACTGAAATAATTGCCCAGGGAAGTGGTGGATTCCCCAGCACTGGACACATTTGGCTGCATGGGGTGCTGGGACATTTGGTCTAGGTCATGCTTCACCTATAAAGGTTGGACCAGATGGTCGTTAAGGTCCCTTCCAACCTGGTATTCTATGATTCTATGACAAAAACCCGTATCCCTTGATTTGACATTATGTTCACTTTGTGTTGTTAAAACTGAGCTCTGTAAAACAAAGTATTTTGGAGTCTGGCTAAACACAGAACACTGTCTGCCTTACTGAGTGGTGAGGACCTTGCACAGGGTGCCCAGAGAAGCTGTGGCTGCCACATCCGTGGCAGTGTTCAAGGCCAGGTTGGACGGGGCCTGGAGCAAACTACTCCAGTGGAAGGTGTCCTTGCCCGTGGCAGGGGAGGTTGGAACTGGGGGAGCTTTAAGGTCCCTTCCAACCCAAACCAGTCTAAGATTCTTTGATTCTTGCAGGTTCTTCCTGCGCACTACAGTGCACTCCTGACCGCAGTGCACGCAGCCCCGGTTTGAAGATGTTTCCCGCTGCTTCACTTTACAGAAGTTATTTAAAGCAACCAACGCGTTTTCGCTCGGCGGAAGCATCTTGCACGGCGCTGAGGCGCTGGGACACTAGAGGAAGCTCCCAGCAGAGCACGCATGAACCCGATCTCCGGGATCGGACGGGACAGCAGAGACCCGAATGCTGCCCAGCCTCGCACCCGCCAGACACCCGTTCTGAGGCGCCGCGAGCCCACGGTCACGCAAAGCCGTGCAAGCCCGCGGCGGCAGCGGCAGGGAGAGTCCCCGGCTCCCCGAAAGTGTGAGGCGCCCAAGGGCGGGGCGATCGGGCAGAGCGAACCCAACCACTCCCACCCGGACGGCCGCCACTTCTGCGGTGCCGGAAGCAGCCCCTCCACGTGCGGAAGTGACGGCTCGCGTCCGGCCCCTCGGTCTCTCCCTTCCCCCTCCCTCCCGGTGGCGGCTCGGCAGCCGGGCGCGGCTGGCGGCGGCCCGAGGCGCGGCCGGGCGGGATCATGGCGGACGGCGTGGACCACATCGACATCTACGCCGATGTGGGCGAGGAATTCAACCAGGTACGGGCGGGCGCGGTGCGGCCTGGCCCGGTCCGGCTCCTCCTTCCTTTGCTTTTCCTTTCCCTCCCCCGCCTTCCTCGCCGCGCCGCCTGCAGGGCCCTCAGCGCGGAGGCCCGGTCGCTGCCGCCGCCATTGTTCGGCTGGCTCCGCCGCCGTGCTTTTCCGCCGCCGGGTGCGCGGAGCTGCGCAGAGACTGGGCGTGGTAGGAGCAGGCCGCGCCTCAGGCCCTGCCTGTGGGCGCTATCGGGGGCCCGCTTGGCGGAGACTGCCGCCCGGCTGCTGCGGAGAGGAGGCTGCTGGCGAGCAGGGCTAGGGAGGACGCGGTGCGCCGAGAGCGAGCGCCTTTTCCACTTTCCTCCTTTCCTTCCTCCCCGCCGTCCTTTCCTCTCTCCCCTCTCGAGTGCCCTCGCAGGAGCGGCTCCACATGCCTTTCCCTCCCCGGGTCGGAGGAGGCCGCGGAAGAACGGGACCCTCCTGGGTGCAGTGGGGAGAGCAGCTCCTTCCCAGCAGCGGAGGGGAAGCATTGCCATTGTTCGCAGATGAATATAAAAGCCGCCGAGCGGGAGCAGTTTCTCGGTCGCTTTTTGCGGGAGAGGCAGAACTAGTGCAGCTTAATTCCGCAGCACGGGGAAACTCTTTTTCCTGGTTTTGCTTTCTTTTTTTTCCTCCCCTTTTATTCTCTTGGTCGTTAAAAAAGCCACGCAGCCCTTCTTTAGAGGACGAGCTTGTGTTTTTATGAGGAAGTATGGGTGAAATAAGCACAACTTCTCTCGTTTACAGGCAGTCCGTTTTCCTAGTTCTCTTTTTTACCACTCACCTTTTTCCAAAAGCCGTGTGCCAGCTTTCCTACCGAGCCCTAATGTTCATACTGGTTTTGTGTGCAATCTGCCCTGTTTGTTACTCCTGTACTTCTCCAGGTTGTGTTGCCCCAGATTGTGTTGTTCCTGTCCTAGAACGTAAATAACCCAGAACAACTGCACTTTCATGCATTTACTGGTTTTGCTGTGTGACGCTGTATGCCTGTCTACCCCTCAGAGAACTGGAAAATAGAGAATAGGTTATGGAAGTCACAGTTAACTATCTCGGGAAACTTTAATCCTTTAGATATTGATTGACGAAATAATTGAGAAGATTCAGTAATCTCATACAGGTATACTATAAAAGAATGCCATGCTAGAGAGCAGGTAATGGAGAGGACTCAGTTTGTTTGCAGGTGAAGGTGTCTCCCTTACAGTTGAAGACTAAATTTAAATAGGAGTGAACCTTAGGACAAATACCGTTTAGCATAAAAGTACATCTCTTCAGATTCTTTAATAACTTGGTTTTGTTTTAATCAGTTGCAAGTAAAAACACTGATAACAAAGTTTTTCAGGAAAAAAATAAAACCCAAAACAAAACTAATTTGAATCTGGTAGTGTTTGTGCAAATTCATGTGCGTAGAAGCCCTCAGAATAGGATTGTTCTATGCTGTAAGTATAGTGCAGACACTACCAGAACAAAAGTGATGGGATGACGCGTTTCACTTGCATGGTCCTGGTCTACTCAGGTTGTGGTTAAAATTGAGTCCCTGTAGCCATGCTGCAAGGAGGGATGATGGTCCAGATGAAGACAGTCTTGTGATAATTTGGCTTAGCATATTCCAGCGGTCAGGAGACCAGTTATCTCTTTCTCACTTTATTCACCCTTGTTGCTGTCCTGCCGGTGCTGCGTTTCTGCTTTCTCAGTTTGTGAACCTTGTAAAATACAGGGCAGAAAAGCAAAAAGAGGCTAGTGCCCATTTCCCTCAGCTTGGCTTTGTGTTTTGTTTGCCTTTTCCCTTTGCAAAAAAACATTTGCTTTTTGTTCTTTTCCAAGTTGGTGCGGGTTTTTGTCTCTCTTGCCTTTTCTTTTCCCCTCGCATTATTTTTTTTTTTTTTAGCTGTAATGTTATCTCGGGGACTGCATAGCTGAAGCATTATTACTTTAAAATAGAAAGTTTTACTGGGAGCGATTGACAGCTCTGTGTTTTCCCATTCCTTTCTGTCAAGTATGAACGAAGACTAGTTGTTACTGTCTACAGTATTACTACCTCTAATTCTAACATCATTGTGATGGGTCCTCTAGAAGCTTCTATTTGTGAATTACTGTTTCTGAATTTGAAGCTGGCAGCTTCAACTGGTAAGATAGGGAATGGTTCTGCATATCTGTGGGTGAGTGAAGATGACAGTTGAGGAAATGCTGTAGGGAAAAAGTGATTTGCATTATTAATTTGTTTATGTAATGGACATTTTATGAAACACCATATTTGTAAGGAAAAATTGCCTTATGTGAAGCAATAAGGTATTGTTTTTTGATAGTGGTGTGCTACCACACAAGTTAATTTGACTTAACAATATTTGTTGAGCTGTAGGAACCTTTTCCACTAGTTTTGCAAACAGCATTGACTAAAAAATATGCTATGTATTTTTGTAGCTCTTCTGGGTACAATATAACTATATCCAAGCAGGGATGAAAGTTTTGTTTGCATCTGTAGTAAATGAGTCATTTAGGACTTGTGACTGAATGAGCTTTTTTTGGTTGTTTTTGTTGTTCTGGGCCTCAAGGTACTCATCCTTGAGGCCCTTCTGGGATTGTGCTAATGCCTTTTTCCAGGAGAAGGAAGGGAAGGATGTTCTGCTTGATTAGTGCTAAATGAACCACGGGTTATAAGGGTGAAATAAAGACCACAGAGCCATGGTTTTTACAAGATGGCTAAGATGCGTGAAAACTGAGAACTGCCTTAGGTTTTATTTAGTGTTGGTTGGAGTGACCTGACTGACTTGAAGTCGAATCCTTTTACTGAAAATGCATTTTTTCTTATTCCATCTAGAGCTCATAAAAAATGTCTGTCAGTGTTGCCTCTCACTCTTTCATGAACTTACTGTTCATCATAATCATATTTTTTGTCCTTAGGCTTACAGCTTTGCTCAACTTGGCTCTTACCAGTTGTACTTATTTTTTTTTTTAATTGTGCTTTCCTCTCCCCGCTCCCTCCCAAGTACTTGGTTGAGTAATTTTCCATTTTGTTGTTCTAAGTTCTCTTCCACATCCAGTGCTCTACAATGTGTATTTGAAGCCTTGTTTTGAGACAAGAGTCATCAGTCTAATACTTTCTGCATCCATTGCTTGTTACTTGTAAGAAATAGGTATTGCATGGCATATTTCACCTTGAGCATCTCCTTACATGTTACACATCTTGCTGTTCAGGAAGGAGATCTATGCTGTACATGAGACCTGTATTATCTGCACAGAAATGGCTGAGGCTGGCATTCTTTTGATGGCAGAAGGCAGCAGTAAGGGGCACTTTGGCAAATATTATGGGGTGTTTTTGTACACAAAATCTTAGACTATCAGTGTATGGTAATGAGATGATCAGTGCATGAGGCCACCTTGATTCTGACACAAGGTTGCCTGCAACTTTGTCCAGCAAACTGGGTTACTTTCCGGCAGTCATGAAGGTGTGATTGTGCATTGTCAAGTTCCCTGCTGCACCAGTCAGAGTTCTTAGATGGTTTGGGTTTTGGTTTTTTTTGTTGTTTTTTTAAAAACACCAACCCTAGACTTATTGTACATATTACATGTAAGTATAAAAATCCGTCTGACCAAGCTGAGGAAATAAAACAATTTAAGGATCTCTTATTTTAATGCTGTGGGGAAAGCGTTTGTTTTGTTTATACTATAACAAGTATACTTGCATAGTTGTGTTGTGGATGTGTCTAAACATGCCTGTAGTGTTCTGTTGATATTTAAATGTTAACAAATTAGAAATTTAAGAGTTCTAACTTTGTATTTTGTGACTGGATAATAAAAGCAATTTAGATAGAACAAGCAGCTAAGAGGCTAATTACCTGGAAACCTTTGACAGGGTAGGAACGTTAGTTAGTCTCTTGACTTCTTGTCTGTAACAGAGGGGGAAATGTTTTTATTTTTGTGTAATAAATAACAGAAGCTAGCATTTCGTAGCCACATAAATCAGGCTAGTAAAACACGCCTTTATATCAGCAAGAAGGGTGCCTTATGGAAGGGAGTGGACACATGGTAGTATGATACATTTCACTCAGAAGGGCAGAGCTGTCCTGATTGTAAAAAACATAAGCTGGCAGACCTATGTGTTATAAAATATATGTGCAGTACCTTACTATGTATGTATATGGTCATTTCTGTTGACCGGCTCAAAGGGGCAAGGGGAAGAGATAACCTTTTTATGTTTACAAATACCAAACTACAAAGGAAACTTGAAACCATCTCACCTGCTGTCTCTTAGCTTTGTTCTAATGCAAACAGCACTATTACCTACATTTAATTTATGTTTTTGACTACCTGTGAATTTTCAGTTACTCTGTTTGACTAGGAGTGTGTGCCAGTTGTAGAGCTAGCTGAGCATGCGAATCTGTAGAGTAAATGTGAATCTTGTGGTCTAACAGACTTGTCCACCGTGGTGGATGTTTCTGCCACAGGCAGTGTGCTATTTTAGAAACATCAAACAACTGCTGTTCTGTTAAGGTTCCAGTTTGTGTGCTCAGGCAGCTGATCAAGACCAGGAAGAATTTTGCTTATCCCTTAAACTTATTTTTCAGGACCTGCACTTACTTTTTTAAAGTGAGGATGTTAACATGTATTTAGAGTTTTTGAGCACAAACATTGTAACTTGAATGAAAAAAGTGCTAAGGGAGAAGCTGGATAATTAGCTTCTTCGTGTGTTTTTTTCCCAGAAAAATGAGTATTTTTTAAATTTTAAAATGTAATTTTTATTTACATCACTGGATTTTATGTCTTTTTGAAGGTGTAATTTAGAGTTTTAACTCTTACATTGAACAGAGCTCTACAGAAAAAGCAGTTCTCAGGTGTATATACAGTTAAATTTTATTGCCTGGGGAAAGCTGTTTTCAAAACAGTGTTTATGAAGGGAGTGACCAGTTCTCTGCAGGAGAGGAGTCTGGCTGCTAAGTTCCAAAAATAAGTAATACTTTCAGTTTGTCCCT